GAGAGAGAGAGAGAGAAAGGGAGGGAGAATTTATATATAACTCCTATTTGCTCAATCTTTGTTACTTAGAACCTTCACCTATCCCGTATGGCAATCCTATGAAACAACTTTTAAAGACAAGGAAATTAAGTTTAGAGAACTTAAATGGCACGATTTTATATTCTCTCCAGGGTGGCAGGGCCAATGCAGTTGACCGATTCTCATAAACGTGCTTTAAAGGCATTTTTCACAATAGTGTTATCAGTCCCAGATATGCCGGACTGTTGGCCCAGAACGTCTGGAAACTATCCCCTGCCTCTAACACACCTTTCCAGAATTACCCTCCTCTCTGCCCTGGGCAGATGCCTCTTTTTTGCCATCCTTCAGAGTTCCCTGACTACCCCCACCCCTACTATTCGCCAGGTCCCATCTATCGAAATGCCCTCCTTTGCTGTTTTTAGCTACTAAAATTTTCTGACCACTCAGGTCCTCTGCCAAACGCCATCCGCTTCGTGAGACACTCTCCCAGTCCGGGGCCCACCCTCGAGAAGTCTGGGTACACACCTGTTCATGCCAGGGCCCTGGTGGAGGCAGACACACCGCCAAAGAGCTCTTTTCACTCTAATGCCTACTGCAGGGCCGGCAGGAAGGAAGGCTTCATAAATGAGCCGGGTTGAAGGCATTTAATCATTTATCCCATATTGCTCAGGACGCTTCGGCTGCCGTGGGGAAGGCAGATTCAGGCCCTTCTTAAGTAGCTTACAGTCTAAAACAAGGCAAGTGTGGGAATGCCTAGCTATGAAGTGTATTGTGCCACAAGAAGGGAGTCAAACAAATGCAGTGTTGGCAGGAATCTGACCACATCTGCACCATGCTTAAATTCCTTCCAGAACTTCCCCCTTAGGTCAAGACCGAGAGCCTCTCCACCCACAACCTCTGTGGCCTCCTCCGGCCCTAATACCCTCTGCCCACATTTCTGCCCCACTGGCCTCCCGCAGTCTCTCCCCACTGCCTCCTTCCTCTCTGGGCCTTTTCACAAGGCTGGTCCCTCCCCCTAAACACCCTGGCATCCTCTTGACTGCTCACCCTTCAGATTTCAGCTCATGCCCTCGAGGAGATCTCTCTGGGCTGCCAGACCAGGTCCAGTTTCCATTTCCTTTTTTTTTTTTCCTTTTTTACTAGCGCTTATCTTGATTTGCAGTTACACATTTATTTGTGTGATTCATTTGATGAATGTCTGCTTTCCTCACCAGGCTCCCAATCCCACGAGTGTGGGTATCCAGGAGTTCGCTCACAGTGGTATCCCCCCCATGCCTGGCATGTCCCAGGGGCTCAATAAAATTTCGACTAAACAAATGAATAATGATTTGGAGAACATTTCAAGTAATGGATGACAAAGAGCACAGGACCTGAATGGCAAAGGAGAATTTCAACAAGTGAAAATGATCAAGGAGGGCGTCTCAGTTGAAGAGACCTGGTGAATTGTTGGGGGGTGGGTCAGAGGGAACGTATGAGAATAAATGGTACATCTATTTGGCAGGAGTAGAGGAAAACAGCGACGTAGAGGGAGGTAAACCCAGAAAGGTGTATTAGAGCCAGGGCAGAGATGGTCCGGAACGCCAGGCTGTGATGGGTTTTATTTGTAGGCAATGAGGAACCAGTGAGGTCTGTGACGCAGAGAAGTGTGGAGACAAGAGCTGCTCTGTTAATTAGTTCCACGTCAGAAGTAACGGGGGTGTTGGCTGCAAAAATAAAAAGCAGATGGCAGCCTGGAGGGACTCTACAGAGAGGTAATGGGTAGGACGTGACCGTGAGTGGCTGAAGGCTTTCCAAGTGAGGTTCCAGGATCACCTGCTTCCGAATCTCCTGGGGGATGACGGATTGGTAACACCCCCCAGAACTAAGGGCCAGCGTCTCCACGGGTTGGGGCCGGGGATCTGCATGCAAACAATTGCAGTGTTTATTGCTCACACTCAAGTTTCAACTTCTATGTGCCTGTAAATGCTGGGCGTCCAAAAAGAATGACAAAATGAGTCATAGACTCCTGAGGCTTTGACCACCAGCAGGTGGTAAAATGTTGACACCATTTCACAAGCAGAGGCAGTGTCCAGAGGAAGAGCTGGTTTTTAGAAGGGAAAGATGTTGAGTTTTGTTCAGCCCTAGAGGGTTAGTTAAAAACCAGAACCAAAGAAGTTGTGGGACAAGAGAGATGGTGGGAGTATATTCTTTGCTTATTTTTAGAGGCCACTCCATCTGGTATGGGCCAGTTCTGGATCTTTATATAATCAGGATGCTGAGCCAGATGATCTGAGGAAATCCATTTGCTCCTATGGGGCAGAGACCCAAGGACCAGGGATAAAGAGTTTCACAGACTAAGGAGGAAGAAAGAGAAAGAGAAAAAAATGTTCCCAGCAACTCAGACACCTACATCCCAAACACCCAAGTTGCTCAGGCTCCTGGGAAACGAGGGTTAACACCTTCCAGGCATGACCCTAGGTCTCCAGGGCATTTCACCCATGTCCACGCAGCACCGCATTCCTGCACCTGGGAAACCCCAGGCCTCTCTTACCAGCACCTTGCACCCCTCCTAGAATGTTCCATGAAGGCAAAGTCTTGGATGGTTTACTACTGCTATATCCCACATGCCTGGAGCAGTGCCTGCATGGAGCAGGTGGTCCGTAAGTGTTCATCGAACAAAGGATACTCGATTCGGAGTCTCAGCTCTGCCACTGATTAGCTGTAAAACTTGGAGCAACTTAATCTTTTTCAACTTGCTTCCTTTCCTATGAAATGAGAACAATGGGTCCTTCATAAGAGGACTGAGGATTAAGCCAGACAATGTGTGCAATGTGATTGGTGCATCCTTCTCACTGTAGCTATGGTGTGGTCATGACACTTGCCCCCACTACTCCAGTGCTCACACAGGGTCAGAGTACTATCAGAGGGGGGCACTGGAAATCTGCTTCTGTCAAACCCTTTAATTACTCTCCCTCTGATTCTTTTCACTGCGTTGAAGACATAAAAGAGGGAACAATTGCACAGAAAACTCTGAGCTGGAAAGAACCCTCCCTCACACCATGTCATTTCTAATTAGCATCATCACGGGTGCAGGGGCCAAACCCATTCACCTGCCCATCTGCATGATGGGAGGAAAGGAGCCAGAAGGAGCCTTAAGGCTGCTCTTCATTCTACAAAGGAGAATGAGGGCTGAGCAGTCAAGGGGCTTGCTCAAGGTCACCAAGTAGGTCAATGGGTCTAAAGTGAGAGCCTAGTCATGTCTCCCACAGCTGGTCCGGGTCTCCCCGCATCCTGCTGTGGGGCCCTGAAAATGGAAGTGATCAGGTGCATTGGAAGATACGGGGGAAAGCGATGGGAAAGTACAGCGCTCCAGCCACTGCCCCACAAGATAAACAGGTCAGCCCAGTCAAAGTAAATGATCGTGGGTGGAGAGGACCCAACTAAGGCTTTTGGAAATGGCCAAGACCCAGTCACCTCTATCTCGCCCTGTCTCTTCCCCATTCTCTAGCCCAGAATGTCTAGAGGAGACCAGCATAGGATGCAAATATGCTCAGACTCAGAGGCGGTCTGGGAAAGGAGAAGGGCCCAGGGCGCACAGAGGCAGGCAAAGGAGACCTGCAACCTCCCAGCCATCTCCCCAAAGACAGGCTGGAATGAACTCCGAGCCCAGGGGAGTGGAGAGTCTGAGGACTTACTGGGCAGCAGGGCAGACAACTTCTGAAAAAAAACAATGCTCCCATGTCAGGAAATGTCCCCACATAGAGGAGGCAACAAAAAGAGAGAGGAATCGCCTCTGGGCAGGGGACTTACAGCTCTTCTTTGTTTATGGGGATGTTTTTGGTTCCCAGCTTCAAACTGCGGCTTGGGGACGGAGGGTAATTTAATTAAACATTGCCAGGGCTTGGCCGAGGTTGCCTGGGAGCCCGTGGTTTAAAGTTCCTACCCTGTCATGGCCTCATCAATGAGCTATATTGAGAGGAACTGTGTGTCTGTTGGTGGAAAAGGGAGAGGAGGGGGCTCTCCGGGCCCAGAGACCCAGAGATTCTATTCTACTTTGACAAGCTCCCTGACAGACCCAGCATTCCTGGGAATTCAGCCCAGTGCCTTCCGCACCCAGCGCGGGGCCTGGCACTAAGGATGGAGGCGCTCAGTACACGTTGGCCAGTGGATGGAACCAAAGAAGTCTGAATCACATGCCTCAAGAGACAGGCAAGAAGGCAAAACACATCCTGGGGTAGTTTCTTAAATGATCAAGGGCCAGCCTGGTCTAAAATCTGAGGAGCCCCAGCCTCTGGCTTAACTGCTGACCAGCAGGCAGTGGTCAGCCTGTCCTCAGGAAAGAGTGATCAGTCCTGGGGGAAGGTAGCATCCGTCTTCCAACCCAGTTTTCTCCAGCACTTCATTATCTGTCAAAAGAGCCCTTCAGTCCAAGACCCTTCCTAGGTCCTATGCCCACCACAGACACCGCTAAACCCCAATGAAACATTCCCCCTTCCCAAATGTGGGACAAGGCTGGGAACTTTAGGTCACCGAGGAGCCTTTCCATATACTGCTGAGATTTCAAATGAAACAGAAAAGTTAATACCTGCCCATTTATTCTGAGCAGGACTGGAATCCCCTGTGTGTGTCTTGACTGTTAAGTCTTTCTGGTCCCACCTGCAGGGCTAGGCTCCCCTCCCCACAGTATGATGCCTCCGCTCTCACCTCCTGGAGGAGGTCTATCTAAAATTACAGTTACCTTATCCCCTTCCCCACTCGGCCACACTTAATCCTCTTTCTCAATCTCCCCACATTCCTTTTTTAGTCCCATCTCCTCCCTGTCTCTCTCAGCTCCACCTCCCTCCCTTTCCCACCAAGGTTTAAGCCCCTCCAGATGCTAACACTTCTGGAATCCTTTCCGCAGAAAGCGTTACTCAATCGGCCAAGTGTCTGCAAAGTCCTTGGCAAAAAGGTTGCTGGGAGTTATAACCAAAGATGGGGACACGAGTGTGGAAAGATACCCCTTTCCCATGACAATCCTAATTAGCCCACAGGATGTGGGGGCTTTCCAAGGAGGCGGAGATGCCCGGCTCAAACAGCTGTTCTCTGACCCTCTGGGACTCTCCAGTCATCCTCTCTGGTCCCTCCTCTCCACACCTGCCTCTCCAGGCCTCTCCAGTCACACTCTTGGGAAAGCCCAGCCAAAATTCCAGAAACAACGCCCACCTCCGTGAAGAGACTACTGGAGAGACAGACTTGTCCCAGGTCAATTAACCCTGGGCTCCCTGGGCCAAGCAGAGATGCATCTGCTCTGCCCTGCCGATGACGCGCCACCCTGACCTCCAACCTGCGGGCTCTATTCCTTGCTCTGACCTGGAAAGCCCAGCCAGCTGGGAAGTGGGATTGTGGTGGCCACAGTGGTGACTTGATTCTCATGAAAAGACAGGAGTTTAGTGTCCCCCCCTAGGGGACCACTTGAGGAGAAAGCTTGGGGACAGTTTCTCCTTAGGAATCCGCCTCCGCCTCTTCATCGCGGACAAAGGAGTGGCTTCCCTGCCAGGCATTCCGGAACGGAGTCCCTCCCCCTCCTCTCTCCATCTGCTCTGGCCTGTTGCTTCAGCACTTGGAGTGCCCAAGCAGAGGCACCCACCAATGCCACAGCCACCAGGGCGTTTCCTGCCCTGGAATCCCCCAGCTCTGTCTCTCCTCCCAGGAAGGCCCATCCCTTTTTGTACTAGACCACAGTTGAAGCGTCCAGGGAATCCCTTCTTCCTCCCCCCAGTTCCCACTCCCAGGATGCAGCTGTGGGAAGGCATCCCACGCAGGAGGGGCGGAGGCAGTGAGGTGGGTGACCAGGAGGACGGGTGGCGGGCCCACGGGTGCCAGAGGCAAAACAGGGTCAGCCCATGTGATGTGTGAGGAGTGAGAGCAGGAAGCCTTTCCCAGCAGCTAGGACTGCTTGTGGGCTGGGGCGGCCCCAGAATTTCTACAAGAGAGGACTTGGAGCCACCGAGCGCTTAAAAGGGGGCGTGAGGGGGGTTTCTGAGGGGCCGGCTTCAAGCTCGGTTTGCATATCCAAACCACTGACGTTTATTGCAGGGGGTATCTTAAGAGGATCGTGGGGAGTAAAGCGCCCCCCTCCACCACCACCTCTTGGTGACACCACTGTAGGGAGGTGCGGACTGGGTGGGCCCGGGTGGGCTCGCGGGGCGGGAGGTCTCGGGCAGGGAGAGGAGGTGGCGCGGGCGGGCAGGGGCGGCCGGCTCACCGGTGTCCTGGCGAAACTGGTTCATGGACTGCAGGTCAATGATGTAGGGCGCGAGACGGCTGTCCACCTGGCCCAGCACCACGCTGCCCCCGGCGCGGGGGCCGGCGCGGACCACCGCCTCGATGTGGTGGCTCACGGCCGGGCTGTAGGGACGCCAGCGGCCGTGCTCGTTCAGCCATTCCCAGAC